TGGTGGTGGTGGTGGTGGTGGTGGTGGTGGTGGTGGTGGAAAGTCCTCCTCAAGTGTACGTTGTGGACCAGGGTGCGAACCCGGCCGTTCTAGCCACCTGCACCCTCCCCCACCTCCGGTCTTCTTGGCTATGTCTTGACACCGGGCTCAGGCGGGGTGGAGGAGAGAGTGTGATAGATGCTGCACGAGTCTACACTCACAATAAACCAATTCACGCGCAAGTCATCGTGCTTGCTCCACCTTGCTGTGGAACACACGGTGAACATCGTCGGGCACGACGGTCGGGCTGTCGACGGAGCACCCAGAGTCGGTTCCACTCTCTGATGTGCGAGTGATGCCGACTATGGGGGTTCCATTCTAATGCCACTTCACTACATTCCTCACTATAATAAATTTGATGCGTTTTGAGACTACCGTGATTCGCCAAAAGTCGTAGATTGGAGGGCTGCCAATCGCCGTAGTAACACGTTCTCGCTGTCGGTCCTGTGTGTGTGTATGTGAAGTGACTGACTGGTAGACTGAGTCAGGCTACAATGTCTCATTCGCAGTGTACCCTCTTAGATTGGTCTCAAGCCGTTCCTATGCCTCTGCGAAGACCCGGTGAGGCGGATAGTGTGTGGCACGCGTAGAGGACTTGGCCAACTCCGACACCCACTGCCCCCCAGCCCCTCCCTAATCGCCCTATCCCTATCTTGTTACCGGGCGAGGGGGGTGGTGGAGGAGAGACTTCGGCAGATGCTGCGCCAGTTTGTTGTCATTGTAAACTAATCCACGCGCACACCAGTGTCCTGCGCCTACCATGCTGTACAGCACATGGTCAGCATCATCTCTCTTGACGGTCGGGTTGAGGTCAGAGGCATGATTTAAGTTTTCAGTAGTGTTATGGGGGTTCCACTCAATGAGTCAATTATTTCTACTCAAATGGTCACATTACCACATCACCCTTAACAGCACTCATGTTAAAAAGCGAAATTTTCAAGAAATTGCGAAGATGCTGGCGGTCGCTCCGCAATTACCGCAGATCTCAGTAAGGTTTGACCCAACTAACAGTTTGCCTTCACAGAATTCGTTTCGCCTTCTGTCCTAATCCGAGAAATGTAGTCTTGCTAGCTTTTATGACGCTGGCCTCAGCTGCCAGGCAGGCGTTCGCCGCTTACTACTGAGCGAAACCGAAGATGCACTGAAGGCCGTCGGCCGAATTTTAAGGGAAGGATAAGAGATCAGGGAATGGCCAGTCGCGGGTGAGCCGGAACCTGGTGAGATTCCCGTAGCAGTAGTGTGTGCCTCAACCACACAAAGGGCCTCCCATTGGTCAAATAGCCCACGGCCATATTCTGTGACTGTCAGGTCGAGATCCAAATTTACTTGCGAAAATTCGATTCCTCGCACCACCTACTGGTGATGATCCTCCCAAAACCTAGGTCCCGCATATCTTTTTTGCGGACAGTTGCTGCCTCCCTGTTTTCAGTCAAGGCAGCAAATCCTTATAGTTGAACTAGTTCAGTGATGCGGTAAGGGCATAAACTGAATGAACCTCCACGGCCTGACCACGTCCGCATCCCGTGGTCTTGAGATGTGTTTCACCGAATACGAATCTTATTTTGGCTAGATCGCAGTTGGTAGCCAGGAATGGGGAAGCGGACGGCAACCTTAACCCTTATCCTAACCTTAACCCTATCCCTAACTTCAACCTTAGACGTTAACCGTTAACCCTAACACCAACCCTAACCCTAACCGAAATCGTAAACGTAACCGTGGCCCTTAGGCACAGTCGGAACTGAAAAAAACCCAGCCATACTACTGAAACCTAATCGTACGCTCAAACCCTAACCGTAACCCGAAAACCTAGGCCTAAAGACGTAACCCTAACCATTAACCGGTACCCTAATCCCAACCACAAACGTAAAAAGGAAGCCGAGTGGGTCAGATGAGATTATGGAGTCCCATAAAATAGCTCCAGTAAGCAACCCCCGCCACCTGTAATGCGAGTCCTGGCTGCCAACTGCGATCTCGCCCTTATTTTGTAACCGCACCTACAGTAGACAATCCCCAGCCTAACCCCTAACCCCCAGCAGGTACGGCGGAGAAATAGGATCTTGCCTGTATGAATTACAGGTTTGACAACTAAACGATAAAGGCCTACAGAAAACCTAATGGTTTCCGCAATCAGTGTTTAAAACGAACAAACCGCATGACGCGAACCATCCATGTCAGAAAGGCGGAGACTCGTTGAAGCATATTTTGTAGCCAGACTTATATGCATTCCGCAAAGGAGACTATCTGCTCCCCCTCCCCCCCGGATGACCCTTGTAGCTTGTGTTCTCAGTGCACGCCTTCAACACATAGTTTTCCTTTCTGAAGCCGACCAAGTCGGGGGTTACAGCACTGACTGCCACCCGCAGCAACATGGACTTCGTAGATCAGAAGTCA